ACTAAACAGTTGTTTTGTTTGTTTCAGCCCATGAATTCCGACCAAGCTAATTAATGGCCAGATAGTGCACATAGGAATTTGGCCCTGAATAGGTGCAGGTGTGAAGCACAGTCTTTGATGTCCCGTTAAAAGGGGCTGTGAGGGAATGGCAAAAAAAGCTTATCAAGAAACCTGGAATATGAGGCATCGGCATGGAACCCCTGTATACCTAGTTTATTTTGTCGTTTTAAGGTAGCGTCGCGTTCTCTACCGAGAGTGAAGGAGGGCTTCGAGAAGAAATTTCGAGGTTCCTGTGGAAATCTTATCGTGACTCGTTTTTCTGCCGAACGCTCAAATGCGGAAAACTGGGAGAATCCTGGTTTTCTCTGGCTGCTAAACTCTTCTTGTGGCTGGCGATGTCTCTCCTCAAGTTGGATGTGTCAGCCGGCCGTCCATCCATCCGTCTGACGATTGATTTGATTTCGTGGTGAATGAATAGCGCTCTCTCTCATTTAGTCATAGCTTAGGCCTCAGCACACCTCCCATCCCTCCTCCCGATCCTCGCACAATTTCATTGCCTCGCCATCTGGATTAGGTTCTCGTAAACGCGCGCAAAATAGTCGTAAACTTTTGAAATCTTCGAAATCAGCGCTTATTAGCTGGGAGTCAACAACGATTGAGGAATGAATATAGCAAATAGCCTTTCACAGTCTGAACGCGCCCATAAACATTCTCATCGTGTTCATTTTCGAGTTTTTCCTGGGAAGTCCCTTTCCGTTGGCGAATCGATGGCTTTTAACAAGCGTGTCTGATGAAGTATGCAGCTTGTCCACATTGTTTCGTTGCGTGGGTGGAAATTTGGGCGGAGCGTCGTCGAAAACCCGGCAGGCAGCCGCAGTAATTCCGGCCCGGTGTAAAGCGTAAAACAAAGATTCCTCTCGAGATCCAGGGGATCGGTTGTCATGCGAACAGCTAAGTACGAATTGTGGTGCTCCCTTGGCTAATTGCAGTTGTGTTGCACGGTTTGATCCGTTAACGAAGAGGAAAATGAGAAAGTGATGAAAATGTCATCTATCATATTATCATCATGAAATGAATTGTTTGCGGCTGAAGCTGCTAGCCTTGTCGTTAGGAACGAGGAAAGTAGCAGCGGGAGTCTTAGGAAGGTGGTCCGCTTCATTCAAAACCTCAAAATAATATAAAATACTTTTTTCCCAGAGAAGAGTTCAAGAATAACATTTTTAAGGTGAATTCGAACTTCAAAAAGGTAGAAACTGATGCCTTCAAATGGAAGCAAAAGTATGAGGAGG